ATTAATAAGTTTTACTGTATGTCATAAAAAAGGTCATAAAAAATGTTATTGTATAATATACCACTTTTAGAATCCCTGATCTAAAATTTTTGTTTCAAAATGCTCTAAAATTGTCAATTTAGCTGTTTTAAAAATTTCTCCTTCAAGGAATTTCCCCCAGACCCCCCTCAAGCGTTGGGTCCATTGAAAATTGTCCCCCCAATATTAAATAGGTGATTACGGCCCTGCTGGAAAATAATTACACCACAAAAATCCTGATTAAATCCATGATTCCTGAACCTTCTCAGCTCATGAACTAAACAGGACCATTTTCGCCCCACCCTGACACCCAGGCTCAGTAACACAACCTATTTTTACGCAACTCTTATTTAAAGAAGTACTGTCCAAAACAAAAACTGAGCGAGAAAATCATGTGTGTCCGCAACCTCAGGTCTCAGCGTCATATCTGTGCAACTGGAAGGGATGTCTGCGTCTCTGTCTTTGAGGTTTACCCCATCCTTTCTAAGCTGTTTATCGCCCATCTCTGCTAATGTAAACCGCCCATCTGTTTTAAACAAAACACATAAAAACACACACATAGTCATTTCCCACCACGCCAGACCCTGAAAGAAGGGATTGCTGGGTATTCTGGTGGCAAGGAAATACACTCCAGATGTGAACAAATTGTCCCCCTTTCTAATTGCTATTGTGTTCGCTGATGCTGATTTTGGATCTCTTCGGTTTTTGTAGCTGGGGCTGAGAGTGCTTGTCAGTTGATTAGTGCATGTGTGTGTATTTGTTTGGGAGCTTGAAGGTGTGAGGTTATAAATCTGGTGGTGTTAAGATGAGAGATGTGAAGTTAAGGGTGTTAAAGGAAAGAGGGGTAAATTGGGATGACACTGGAGGAACAGTTGGAGATCTGACTACTGTTATCCAGCCACCATAAACAGACACAGATGTTTCTGCTCAGTGCCTGATGAAGGCTTTATTTAAGGGAGCCCATCGTCTTCTTCTGTCCTGTCATCATAACTTCTGAGAGGCTGGCTTGCTTGTCCCTCGCAGTGCATCTAATCAGGACTGATTAGGTGTGTGGTAGCCAGAGACATGCAGGGGAGTGGCTGCTCTGAGGGCTGCCCCTGCTGTCCTGTTTACAGAGCGCTTTTCTGCATGTGAGGGGTTTCCTCTGCATGGAGAGATGAGAGAGAGGAATCAGACCAAGTCCACAGCATGATGTGGCGTTTCATAAGATAGTTAAAAATCACTCCACAACTCTAAACAACAGACCACCGCGCAACTGCAATCAACCTGACTGTGGTCTCACCAACCACACTGTAATCCAAATAAACAAACAATGGCATAATGAAAGAAGTCTCCCTCTTTATGCTGGGAAATCGCTTCACCTCATCCATCTTCTCTATCATCTATTCTCATCCAGTTTCTGTTTGTTTTACAGCATCCTCACATGAAAAGCTGCAGGAGGAAAACAGACTACAGCTGCTTTAAAGATCGAGGATTCCCTAGGAAAACTTGATGAAGGTCATATAACCCTATCAGTGCCACTGTAATGATATATCATTTCACAATGTTGGAATTATAAGCTTCTATATGTGTTCTGAGTGGTTTTTGAGATGCTGAGCTTCAAGGTTTTGCATTCCAAATCGCAAAAAGGATGTGGAACAAATGTCTGCCATATACAAAAATGACAGAATGTTATTCTAAATGTGCGATATCAAAATTCTGTCAGATTGAAAATGGGGTTTTAGGGACTAATACAGATAGAACCTTACAATCCTCAAAACTCCCTTTCTGCTTGGAATTATAAGGTTCTATCTGCCTTCTGAGAGGGTTTCGAGATATTGAACTTTGTGGTTTTGCATTTCAAATAGCAAAAATGATAAGTGTAACAAGCCTCTTTCATACACAACAATGGCAGACACCATAAAGTTATTCAAACTGTTCAGTATCAAAATCCTGTAAGGTTTGTAAATGGGTTTTTTAGTGACATATTGAATGTAGATAGAACTTTCTAATCCTAAGAACTCGTGTTCTGCTTGGAATTGTGAGATTTTTCAAGTTATACAAAAAGTTTACCTAGAATTTGTCTTAAACATAAAATTAGTGTTGTAACAGATTGTCCAAATGTATGAGAGAGTTTCATTTAATGGCATTTCTACAACATTTATTTCTTGTCTTAGGACAAATCTTATTTAAAAAAAAAAACATTGTAGGTTAAGTAAAAGTCACTGCTAATTATTTACAAAGTGTTGATGTCAGTTTTAGGTAGGTATATGGTTGGTTATTAAATTCATTATTCCAGGAACCATTAGTTAAAGTTTTCTTTGGGTTTGACAGCAAACAGCCACTGTAAGACATCTAACCAGGACTGTGTTGCACAGAAAGTGGGACAGGTAAAAGGATATTGTAGATATTGTCTCTACAGGTCAGTACAACAAGTAAATAAGATGTGTGTTGGGTTCAGTTACTACAGGAAATGTTCCAGCAGTAAGGGCAGTAAAAGGCAGTATCAGTTTTTGAAAGATTCAGACACCTAAGAAATGTTGACTTGTTTACCTTTATAATGAGTTTATAATGTCAGAGCCGTAAGAGCTTAAATGTATTTAATTTTCACAAATTATTTGATTAAAAAAGAGAGAATAATTATATGTAATATGTGTATAAAAGGCTTATAATTCTATAACAAAGTGCAATTAAATAACTGCATCAGTCAGATCAAATATTTGAGAGTTCTTCCTGTTTAAGTTCATGTTTCATGTTCATGTTTAGATGTCACTTTTTAAAATGTGCAATGATGGATGCATATGTGAGAACTCATAAGAAGTCATCTCAGAATTGAATATGAACCTTCTCAGTTTAAATATTTCATTCATAACAATTCTTTAATTGCTTTAATGATGATTTGCTCCCATAAGCCATCACTGATTAGTAATTACATTTTTGTTTAAAAATAGTATTTGTTAGCAAACAATCCTCCGGAGGAAAATCTGCCTAAGTTGCCTGTTTTTTTCTAACTCAGGTCAGTGCTCAATGATTATTAATGTTCAGTCCAAAAATAAATGTTTGCTTTAAGACAAAAACTTAACGTGATTTTTGAAGCCAAATCGAAAGTTAAACAACATTGCGGTCGTAACGTGGATTTATTCCTATTTTCAGTAGCTGTAATGCTTTAATGTTTTCAAGCTGTTTTGGATGCAGTTTTTCCCTCCCTGTTATTTAGCACTGAAACGGAACTGAGAGCCCTCAGATAAAAACAAAAGCCCGACCACTGGCGGATCAAAATAATACCTGTAGATGTTTGGTCCAAAATGATGACTGTCCTCACACTTTGATCTGAATTATCGCACCCAACTCTGATGAAAAATAAACCCTCCCTATCATGTCCACACAGTGTGCTCAGCACGCTGCAGAGACAGGTAAGCCTATTGTGGTTTTGGAGGTATTTCCCTCTGAACAACTGGCATTTTCTACCCCGCTCCTCTGTATTGAACACGCCAAAAGCCTTTTGATGCTTTCATGTTCAGTCGGAAATGTCGCAATTTCGAGAGCGAGATTGATAACCTAACAAAATATGAATAAATATAAGTGAGGTTTTGTATGATGCTGTAATATCTTTATTTAGTGCTCAGACAGCAGCTAAATTAGGCATTTTAAACATGTTTATTTACTAATCAAAACATCAAACAGTGGCACTCCAACATATACGTATAGATTAGGCCTATCTAGATCATGTTTTTACTCATTTTAAAATAAATCAACATAAAAAAAAATATGTAATTTATTTTAGTGCTCATAAAACTGTTATCTCCGATACTACTTAAATACACAGACACGAGTATTATTTCTGTATATTTAAAATATAAGCAGACGGGCAGCACTTGAAAGCAGCATTATTGAAGACTCTTGCTCCCCCACCCCCCATACTCACTCTCTCTGCACAAACACATTCACCCTGCGGGCTTGGTGGGGCTGTTGGAAGCCTGTGGAGGGGCTGGGAAGAGGTGCTGGGGGGTTAGGGTGATGAGGAAACGAGTTGATGTGCCCTGGAAGTAATTCTTTCACCCCCCACACACTACCCCCTCTCCAAAAACACACAAGGTGGGAGAAACGGGACCACCACCAGCACCACTGGTAGCCTTTAACACGTGGGGACCCGGTGCGAGCATCCACATTCCTGCTGAGGGACTGAAAGCATGCTCGATTTCTTCCACCGTGTTGTCACTTGTTGACGCTTTAATAATAATAATAATAACAATAACAATAATAATAATGATAATAATTGCACAATGCATGATTTAAGTATATGTTTTATGTTGTGTGATAAAGACATGTTTTTGTGATAATTTATCGATGGACGGTCTTTTTTATTTTTTTCCCCTCATTTGTAAAATATTTGTACATTTATGTGCACAACAACAATGTCAACGTAACCCAGACAAATGTAGGAAAATCTCACTATTCAATCACAAATTTAGAAGATACATATTTTGTTGATATGAGTGTGTTTTGCTCACATTTTTCAGTTCTTCAAAAGTCTGTAAAGTTGAGGTGACATCGCAATAATTCATTAGAATGCACTGCTTCCTGTTATGAGGAGGCTACACTTTTCTTTTGTACAATTTTATTCAAAATATGGGCTGTTGGAAACAATATATGTATACAAAAACAGAAACAAATAAAGGTATATTTAATGCAGTTAATCTTCTCTCATTGCTGTTTGGTTTCAAAGGCGACACAAAATCGAGTAAAACAAATTAAACAAATAAAGATAGTCCCATCCGATTACCACAAGCCCTGCGATTTCTTAAAAAATATTTAAAAAAATATTTAACAACTACAAAAAGCTCCCAAAGTGTTTTAAATATATTTAAATATGATCAAAAACGCTGCTTTGAACGTTTTTTGTTGGCTATAGTGACAATACGAAATGTATTCACACATTAACTGTTAATCTGTCAAACCACGGCTTCGTTATAGTGAATTATGATTTAAACTGTTCTAAAAACATGCATGTTTCTTCATAAACCGAATCTAAAGAATGAATAAGTTGGGCTGCAGGTGTATTCACAGAATCAATAACTTGTTACGGGGAGGACTGGCTGCTGAAAAACCAGTAAACTGTCCCTGCTTGGAAAAAAAAAAAAAAAAAAAAAAAAAAAAAAGTTTGTGAAAGTGGCCTGACGTCACACTCCCACAATGCTTACCGCCCCATAACTCCGCTGCAGCCTGAGGGGAGCCAGACTCACTCTCAGGCCCCGAATATTGAAAAATTATTGAAAAAAATCGGAAAAAATAAGCAAACAACAGATCGAGGGGAGAAAAGAGCGGGGAGCGGTGGCGTGGGCTCTCCCACGGTGGGTGTCTGGTCCGGTCCGAGATGGAAGGTTACCGGGGCTCCATGTGAGATTGACTAATGCGGTGCTGGAAACTTTTTGGTGGGTAAACTGCTCGTTTTTTTCACTAAGACCTCATAATGTGGCTGCACGTCCTGATGTGTGCATGTGTGCTTTTGAAACAACTTTACCAACTTTAGATCAACTCTCACTCACACTGACTGACACATCGACGTGCGCCACACTTGAATTGTTATGAATGTGTTGTTACTATCGCGTAATCGGACTTTGCGTAATTTTGCTTATTTTTTTGGTGGCAGCATGGAACGATCTGGGTATTTAATTTTTAATTGCGCGATCGCCTTCTCTGCCCCTCGAGGCTCTTTCGCTCGATAAATATGTTGCAAATGCGAATCTGTGAAGTTGTTTAACACGGTGCACTTTGTCCAGCGGCCCCTCGCTGTTGACGTCTGATGTTCTTCTTCTTCATGTTTTCGGCGATCTGGTAAGTTTTAAGCAATTTCCGAATCTTTATCAAGTGTGGCATGCCGCTGCAGAGGAGAGGGAGATATGGGTGAACGTCCCATGGCGTGTGTTAGTTTGCGAGGGGAGGAAAAAGTTGCTGTAATGTGGAAGCTGTTGGCTCTGTGTGCATCATACTGTTCCGTTCTCTACATTAGGACTTATATGTCTGATTTTGAAGCGTCCCCTTAAACCTTCAAGCCATTGTTGTTGACTGAATGTATATTTGGCCCCTCCGCTGGGTTATCTACATGGCTGGTGACATGTTTGTCGCTGATCGGATGTTTTGTGTCTCTTGCCTGCGCGTGCGCGCGCGCGTGTCTGTGAAAGAGAGAGAGAGAGAGAGAAGAGAGAGAGAGAGAGAGTGAGAGAGAGAGAGAGAGAGAGAGAGAGAGAGTGTGCTTTTCCTTGGAAGCGGGTAAATAACAACCAAGACCCTACCAAAGGGGGGGTTGGGGGTCAGAATGTGGGGGTTCCCGTTTATGCACATGTTATTGATAGCTGACTTGGCTGCAGGCTTCTACTTGCTACACGTATATCGTCAGTCAGGAGGGTGGAAATAAGCAAAAACTAGTGTTGAAAAAGTTCTGCTACAATAATGAGGTGCAGTGTTTGCGTTGTGCTGTTTGTGCATGCTTTCACCATATTATTTACATTATTGTTGAGTTGTTTTTGTCACTGCTGTAACATATCATTTAATACAAGATCACTCTTGTTTCTTTTCCAATTGAACACAGAACTTGCACTATAATTGCACTTTGTGATATTTAGGTGTTTTCATTACATCAGCTTTAAGTTACCAGCAGGCATCCTGTGGATGTACAGGAGTTGCACATGTTTGCAGATCTCCACAGATGCACAGGGGAGACTCCAGAGGGTTGATGATTATTTCCAGTCTTAGTCTGCTGGTTATTTCCTCTATTTATCGATTTAAGTGTCAAAAAAGTGAAAAATACCAATTTCAGGGGTCTCATTTATAAAACAATACATAAGATCAATACTGAGAAAATACATACAAACAAAAGCCAAAAATGGTTTGCGCCAAAAAATATTCAACACTTCCTATAATCAGGCTTCCACCTCACCATCTGCATCGGCAGTTTACTGTCTCCAAAATGTTCATAAGCATGGGTCAACGTTTCTCCCATCAAGTCTGTTTCTACACATCGCAGCTTTTGTTTGGGAAGTGGTGCACGCCTCTTTTAGGCTGTGTTTTGTGCATATGCAGTGTTCATAAATGAGACCCCAGGTTCCTGAGGCCAAAGTTGAGGTCTTCACATAAGTTGGTTTGTCCATTTGACAGATCAAAAGCCCCCAAATTATTAAATTACTATTGCATAAGACAAAAAAAAAACAACAAAAAAACAAAAACAGCAAGTTGTCAAAAATGACAAGCTATCAGGAGTTTTCAGAATAACTGCAAGTTTTTGTTCTGTCAATTGACTGGTGCTTCAGCACTTGAATCAACCCTCACAGGCTTGATAGGTTTCTAATGGCTCAGATACCCTTCTGCAACATCATTATTTGCTTGTCATTCATTTAAGGTAATAATTTAAGATTTTGGGTGCAGAATGTAAAGAAAATTTCTGCCTGGTTTGAACAACGCTCTATAAAAACACAATAAGTTACTGTGATCACCCTGATTTACCTGAGTAGCCTATATAGGGCTCTAAAAGCTGTAAAAGTCCCTCAGTGGTGCAAAAAGATTGATGCCATAGTTGCAGATCAGTAATAGAATGAGTTTAGTTTTTTCTCTCCACTCGAAGAGACGAACATGCTCCACCGAGGCCTCCAGCTACATAATAAGGAAATGGAAGTGAGTTTGTCACGAGACAATGCCTTTGTTGCTGCCAGTCCCAGTGCAAGTTGAGACCCATGTGTTGATGTTTGCTACTCTCTCACTATAACAACCCTGTTAGTGATGGATCCGCTCCATGGCCTTTAACAGATTTCATTTCCTCCAGAGATTTCTCAAACATTCGGAACATTGAGTGAGGTTCTTGGTATTGTGATGCACCTGTTTTTAGATGCAGTGACACATAGCTTGTTTAATTGGTATTAATAGTTTTATCAAACCTTAAAAGATCAGAGGTGAAAAATATAGTTAAGGAACAGTTATTAATGAAACATGATAAAAGTTGTAAGCCAGGAAAGTTGTAAAAAAATGCTTGCAGTTCAGGAAACAGCTGGCAAACTTGCATTTTTCATGTTTCTTCTTTATCTGTTAGTGATAATGTGCAGAATTAAAATCAGAAAACCTCCCTTCTATTTCTAAATATGTTTTCTCACAGTCACAGACTCCTGATGATTCGTGCTCCTCTGGTGCCCAAGCATTCTTAGCTGCTCTGCTCTCCAAACTGTTTTCTGCCGGGTCCATTGAGCCAGCTTCTTCTCATTAACTTCCATGCATTGCCTTACATTACTTCCATGCCCCTGTGGTTGGAGGCAGCACGTTTCATGTTTGCCTTTGTGATTGAGTGAATGTGTTTGCCTGTGAGAGCTTGCACACATGCCTGTTTGTGAGACGGTAGATGTTAGACGTGCGCGTGCACATGCGCCTGAGCTCATGTGTTTGCGAGAGAGGGAGCTGTTTTTGAGCTGGTGGAGGGAGGTCTTCTCCTCTGAAAATCTCCCACAATTCCTTGCGCCTCTGCGGGCAGCGGCAGCGGTGGCAGTGGCGGCAGAGACGGTGGCGGCGGCAGCAACAGCAGGCTGATTTCCATGAGAAAAGAGCATCAGTTGGGTTAATGGGAGGGACAGCCCTCTGAGGGGACAAATGGTAGTTAATAACCAGGGAAGAATCGGAAAAGCTCTGATCCCTTTCTTTGTACTTCTTCACCTTCTAGAGGCAGGGATGGGGTGGGTGAGGGTGCAGAGGAGATGGCTGAAGGAACAAGGGACACTGGGTTCATGCTAGAATGGATGTTTTTCACTGAGGGGGCTGCAATGAGATTGTACTATTTATTATTTTCTCAGAAAAGCGGGAGAAAAAAAAGGGAGCCATAGAGCTGGAACACAACATGGGGCATCGCAGAAGAAGTGTGTGTGTGTGTGTGTGTGTGTGTGTGTGTGTGTGTATGTAAGGGGTGCAGTTTGGGTATTTGCACTTTTTGTGTGTACTCACATATAGATGTGTTTACATGCATGTGTGTTCAGTGTCATCAGACAAGCATGGAAGGATTTATTTATTTGTGATGTTTGAGGTTCCACACAGTAGCTGCTGGTCATTCAGGTCACTTGAGAGAGGCTGGAGAGGAGGAGAGAGACACTGTATGGAAGACAGTCATAGTCTTGTTTACTCATCCTTTAATCAGATAGTTACTGATTTTAATCATAATTCTGCTACTCCCAGACTGTATTTGAAGTTATTGCACAGCCTCTTTTTTTAACATTTGAATAATAAGGATTTTTTTATTGTTGTTTTTATAGAGAAATTGTTAATATCCCTCAGGAGTACTGAAACTGGGGTGCTGAAATATTTAAAATACCGAGCCCTGCTCCATCATATCTGGGTGTGTTAGACTGTGTTTTTTACATGGTAAAGTTTCCTAGTTTGTGTGGATGTTTATCACCCTTGCAGCATAGACTTTTAGTTCAAACTATTTGTAACAGTTTTAAAAGTTAGAGGTTGCATAAGTGATAAAAACGATGGATCATTTGTAACTGAAGTAGTGTCAATTTTCTCATTTTCGTCTTTTTTTATACTGTGCTGCCAGAAAGTTTGTTAGATTGACATAGGGCTGAGTGATACGGAGAAAATCAAATATTATGATAATATTTACCAAATACCTTGATATTGAGACAATATTGTGGGGTTGACTATTGGTGCTTTCATAAAGTATTTACAGAATAAGATTTTGATAAAAAAAAATCATCAGTAAGTGGATATAATGACTAAATGAGTGAAGGCAAATAATAAAACATCTAGAGCAGTCTGGTAAGTTCAGAGAATGACAACAATTTATTGTAATGCAGCCTTTAAAACCAGGAAAAGACAGCGTGTGTTATATCCCAAATCTAAGACGATATCTAGTCTAATATCACTTTATCAGTTTATTATTGATATATTGCCCAGCCCTGGATTGAAAATATGTTAGCTAACGTTAGCAAGCTTTACACAGATATTTATGTGTGAATCAAATTGCTGACTTCTCAGTTCTTCTTCTGCCAGTGTGACACTGTGTTTTAGCATTTACCATATAGCTAGGGAATTTGCTGCTATAGTCATATGCGGTGATATCACCAGTATGGTGGCTAATGTTAGCAAAGCTCAGTAAACTTTAATACATATTGCTCTGTTAGTGACATTTGTTTGTCAGTTTGCTGATTTCATGAGTGTAAAAGTTCCATCATGGCTGTGGAAATGGTAATTTGACCAGATGTGTTTAACTTACTGTCTGCTCACAGTATTCGCTTTTTGAACCGCATTTCATGGTCTTCATCAGCGGCTGGATTTTGCTCAGTTGTCAGTTTCAGTTTCAGGCGCAGGAGAAACCTAGTGTGAGGGCGTTGAGTCAAGATTTGTTGTCAGCTAATGACTCTTCTCTACTTGAGCTTTGAATAAATTTTGAAATGAATCA